ATCTGGCGCCTGATAAACGTTTGACGCAAGTGTAGGAGCTACCACTTGAGTTGTCTGATGCATAAGTGTTGTAGCTGATGCTGGAGGTTGGTATGTCAGCGTAGGTGCCTTGTACATCTGTGCTACGAACTGCTGCCACATGGATTGCATGATGTTTAGCATCCAATTGTTCTCCTAAACGGCACCGAAGGCTGCATGTACATCTGTTGCACGAGTGGGCAGGCAGGGGGTGCAGAGGTAAGCTGACCTAGCGTTGATGACATCACAGGATAAGCTGGAAGCTCTGAGGCTGTTGTCATTGTAGAAGCGTCCAGACACGGTGCAAGCCATTGTGATGAGATGCCCGTAGGTGTTGACTGATTCATCGTAGAGGCATCATAAGACGCATGCGCCATCATAAGGTGCATGCACTAGCGTCGCTGGGACCGTCACACTGGAGGCCATGGATGCCTGAAATTTGAAATAGGTGCGATACTCACAGTAGAGCCCGAGGTCGTACAACATGGAGGGGAGTGAATGTCGGTAGTCACTATCATCGTGGACAATGCTCCTCCTGATCGATGGGTTGGGTGGTAATCACCGGAGACTTGAGGCTTGTAGCGTCCTGCGACTGACACATCTTCCTTGTAACACCAAGAGAGAGAGAGAGAGAGAGAGAGAAATGAACAAAAATTTGAGTGCAAACCTGAATGCAGTCCAAGCAGTGTGGATGAGAAGAGTTTGAAGGGGAGAGATGCATTGTTGAAAGAACAGTTCTTTACACAAATCTTTTAGTTGTACATATATATTGTTGTACTGCCTTAAATATAGCTTCATTTTCTGTTACAACGTGATCTGCATTGCCGTATAACAGTAGGTGTACATCAACAGGTATGTTATGAACAATATTTTTAAGGCTGTTAAATATAATTTCATGCTGATGACTAAAGAATGTACATTCCATAGGATAATGATATGCATTTTCACATGTATTTGAACATGTACAGTTCGGGTGATCTTATATACCAGTTCTATATAAATCATATTTCAATTGACTGCACATGTATCTCAGTTTTGTGTGTAAGATATTATATTTGCTTTTTCCATATTTGTAAAGAAATTTTAAAACAAGAAATCGTAGAATTTCGATCTGATAACAGAATAGAGTTCCACAATCAAGTCGACGGGTAAAAGGATTCAAACAAATGTCTTAATCTTGTGAGAGGAACACTGATGTTTTCAGAGTTTCTGAGACTGTATGAGGTTTTTGCAGCGACGTTTTTTGGTAGAATATCTGTTAGATAGGAAAGGGCCATATTATGATTAATTTTGAAGAAAAGACAAAGTTTATTTTTCTTTCTACGCTCAACTAAGGGTTCCCAACCGGATTCTTAATATAATGATGCCTGGGGGCATATTAGGTAGGTAGACCAGTTACAATGCGTGCAGCTTCTAATTGTAATTGTTCTAATTTCTCACTTTGTCCTTTGGTGCAACCACCCCAAACCTCACATGCGTATTCAAAGTCTGGTCTTATGAACATTTTATACATATTGTTAATAGTATTTCCGTGAAGGAGATGTTTCAGTTTTCTCATTGAGTAAATCATCTTGGAAGTTGTCTTTATTATGGTATCTGTATGACAAGACCATTTGCCACTGGCTTCAAGTATAACACCCAAGTGCTTATGACTATTTACAGAGCTGATTTCTTTTCTGTTGAAATATAGTTTTAAACCTCCTATGTTGTCTTTGCGAGAGAATGAAACAGATTTAGTCTTTTCAGGATTGTAAGTTATCAGCCAAAGTTTCGCCCATTCACTTAAGATTGCTAAATTTGTGCTGAAGGAACATTCCAGTACACTGTTATCATTGGATGACATGCCAATTAATGTATTGTCAGAAAAAGGTCTTGTCATACAGTCTAATTTATCAGCAATGTCATTTACATATCAATAAAGCACGGACCCCTGTGTCACGCCAGCCTTCATGTATCTTGGTTTGGTTATTTCCCCATTCACAAAGATGCTTTGGCTAAGATTACTTATGTAACTAGTAAGCCCACTGTGCCATCCACGATCAAAGGCTTTTGATACATCACAGAATACAATACAATAGTTTTCTTTGTTATCTAACGCTGTACAAATTTGATGATAAAGTTCTATTAGTTGATGGACAGTTGAGTGACCAGCCTGAAACCCAGATTGGTACTTATACAACAACTTGTTCTCATGAAAGTAATTATATAAATGTTTGAACACAACTCTCTTAAACAATTTTCCTAAACAGCTAATTAGTGATATCAGTCTATAATTAGAAACAATAGTCTGATCGCCTTTCTTAATTAATGGTATTACATTTGCTTTTTTCCACACTAATGAAAATATACTTGGTTGTGGCGACATATTGAACAGTAAACATAATGCTTCGCTAATAGAATATACAGTTTTCTTTTATAATTTATGACAAATTTTCTCTGATCCAGAGGCTTTTTTCAGAGGCAAACATTGTATTATGTCTTTAATTTCTTTTTTAGATATGACTATGTTGTTCATCTGTCTGAAATGTGAAGTGGGCATAGTTGTTCTTGTATCATAGACATTAGATATAGATTGAAAATATTTATTCAGTTTCTCTGCCTTTTCAATATCAGTAAATATTGTTGGGTGTTCGTCCGTATCATACTTTTTAAGAGCGGTTATGTTGTTAGCTGAGCCAGAGTTCTTCACAACATAACGAAAAACTTTCCAGTAAGAGGATTTGTTTTCTGCATGTATTTCTGATAGAAAGTAATTCATTAAGGTTTGAATAAAAATGTTCTTTAGCGTGACATTTCATGTTAATAACTTTGTTATTTGATTTCTATAGGCCCGAATGTCGTTTTCCTTCTTACTTTTTCTAGCCTTCTTTTTTAATCTATCTCTTTTTTCTGGATTCTCGTCTTAAACTGAAATCATACCAAGGTTTGTCCTTCGAACGAATGGTTACTATTTTGGTTGGATTGCATATTTTAACATATTTATTCAAGTATTTATAGAACAGACTACATGCTTCATCAAGTTTTGAATTTTGACTAAATAATTTATTCCAACAAATGTTTTCAATGAGCAAATTAAGTTTTTCATAGTCACCGTTTTTAAAACATGAAATTTCTCTCTTATATGCTAATTTTGTTCTCAAATTAGTGTCTGTTTCAATGTTAGTTCCCCTATGGTTGCTTATTTTACTATCAAAATCAATTACACCACTGTCGATGACGTTTATATCTTCACTGATAATAATAGGATCCAATAAACTACTGGTATGGTCAGTAATTCTGGTAGGCTCGGTTATGATATTGTGTAGATTTTTCCTATTGAGTAATTCATTTACGTTTAAGCTCCTAGACGATAACATATTTTCATTTATGTCACCAACAACAGTAATCTTGCAAGAAATATCCAGGGCATTTTCAATGCTATCATCTAAGCGAGTCCAAAAATTCACTGAATTATGTTCCAGTCAGTAAACAGAGCACAATAAAATTGAGCTTTGAGGTAAGCATATTTGAATCCTTATCGATTCGTCTTTCATGTTTTCTAATTCATGTCTTCTTTTAAAAGACAACAGCTTATTAACATATTTCAAAACACCACCTCCGAACATATTTCTGTCTTTTTGTACTGGTTCGTAAAATCTTCCCCAGCTCAAGTTTTCATTTTGAATACAGTCATCTAGGTGTGTCTCGGTAAACAATCTGAAAGGTATTCACTCAAATAAAAGAGTTTGTTAGGTATACTTCTAGCATTTACATAGACAGTGACTGGTCAGCGTTGTCATGGTTTGGTGGTCCAGGATTTGGATGCACATCCCCGGCCAGCATAAGCAACAATAACAATACAATTGTTACATTAGCTGAGCTTGCATGAAACAAAGAAATACAAACACACTGCACGCTCTGCATTCGACATGAAATATATCACACAATGTATAAAAATTGGCTGAGAAAAGATACAGTGAATGTTAACTTAGGCTACGCAGGTTCTTTTGACACAAAATACAATTGAAAACCCTGATCATCACACGGTTTTGAATTATATCATTACCCATTGGGTAAGATGAATATATACATACTTCTCATAGGTGTGTGGTAGTGTGATCAGGAACACTGACAATAGTAAGATAACTGCGAGAACAAAATATCATGCATATTTAACAAAACCGTCAAAACCGTTGTATTTTTCTGTCTGCTTAGGTTGAAGAATTTGATTAACATGCGCCCTTTGCAATATAGAAAACTTCATAGATCACGGGTATCCAGTCAGTGTTCATTAATGTGTATGGATATTGCCTCAAAGTTTATTTGCTCTGTCCTTACAGACGGTAGCCCAGTCTCTTGTCATGCTCAGTTGTGTTGGCGAGCAAATCGACTCACGGCAGCTAGACAGCCAGGAGGATTAGTGCCCCTTTACTTAGGATATCTCATACTATTTCCTTACTTGTTTGTTATTTATGGATTATGAGTTTCACATGTTAGTAGTGTAGTTAACAACCCGGATGGACAATATTCTGGCTTACTTGTATAGTGATACATGTATCAAATTTATCTCACAAGTAAAAGTTGTTTTTTTTCAGTGAAATACTGTGAAGGTCAATATAGATCTATCCAGTGATTCCCAGTGGACTCTTAGTATGGTAGACAGAGGCAATGGTCACATGATAAATGACATCACATTAAACAGATGATGTTGTGATATCCATAGAGGATATCCAACCAGCTGGATTGTATGGAGTTTTACAAGCTGGTGCAAGTCCAAGAACAATCTGCTACAATTTTGGCCACTGGTCTTGAGACTGCATCTAGTAACATTTTGTTCAGTCTTCAAAGCGCAGCTAATAATAGTCCATATAATAACACTAAAATCTACTGACAATAATGTTTGGGACAGTACACTTAAAAGATTTTTGGTAAGATTGCAATGGCTAAATGTTGCATTGAGTAATGACAAATAATCATACATAACCTTTCCTTACCCATTTCAGGTTACATTGACAACAGCACTAATAATGTCTTATACCAGTCACTACAGAATCAAAGACACTCTGTTGGCAACTCGTGTATGCAGGTAGGTACTTTGTACTGATTTACTAGATATTCCTGGAGTTGACAGCACAGGATGACCCAAGCCTGCACTGTATCATACAGTGCCAACACAGACAAGTTATTACTTACTTACTTACTTTGGAGATTTAACGTGCGCTTTCCGACTGATGCGTATTTCGCACACGGGCCCGGCCAGGCCATTTAATGTGTTTCCGAAAGGGGCGAAAGTGGTGTGTGCAACCCAAGAGGGGGCTTTAGGGGTTGCTTATATAGAATTTGGGAATTTTGAGATTTGGAATAGATGCCGATGGGGTGGGGGAGGAGAACTAAGGGAGCTGGGTATGGTGGATTTTTGTGTGTTTATGTAATTTTGATTTGGTGGATTATAGTGTTTTTAGATGCGTTTTATTAGTTCCGTTTTGATTAAGAATACGCCTAAGGCCTTGAAGTTTTCTAGTTTATTTTGTGGGTTTAGTATTGCTTCTAGAGTGAGAGCCTGGTTTATATTGAGGGTGGTTTGTAATGCGGTTCGATGTGTTAGGTAGTGTGTGCAGTAGATGAGTGCGTGTTCTGGGGTTTCTAGTTGTTTGCAGTGTGGGCAGTTACCTGTAGTATGTTTTTTTATTTTTTTTAGGTGGTTATTTAGGTTGGTGTGTCCTGTTTGGAGTTTAGTGATTACTCTGTCGATTTTTTTTGATGGATGGTGAATTTTTGGTTTGGTTAGTGGTTTGCTGAGTACTTTTTTGATTTGGCTATTTGAGTTTAGATATAGGTTATGCCATTTTTTGGTGATTTTTTGCTTATTTACACTTTTAATTTCTGATTTTGAGATGGGTAAGTTTAAGCTTATTTCTGGGATTTTGAGGGATAGTTTAGCTGCCTTATCGGCGTTTTCATTACCGTATATTCCTACGTGGGCGGGTATCCACAAGAAAGTTATTTGTTTGCCTGCGTTAGTTAGGTCGTTGGAGCTTTTAAGTATTTGATTTATTAATTTAGGTCGGTTTTTGGTATTTTTGTTTTGGAGGGCTTGCAGTCCACTTAGGGAGTCGGTAAGTATTAGGATATTTTTGTGTTTTTTGGATTCTTGATTATGTAGGGCTGAGGCCATGCCCATTAGTTCTGCCGTGAATATTGATTGGTTGTTTGGGAGTCGGAAGGATCGTGTGGTTTTAGTTGGTTGTGTGGTATGGACTCCGAAACCTGTGTGTTTTGAGGTCGGATCTGAGGACAAGTTATTTAGAGCACATATCAATTTATTGTACTTGAAGTTCTCAGAGCGAATGTGCTCTGCAATTTCATTGGTCATAACTTGATGCTATCTTTAGCATGGGCACCACATCAATGACTATTTGACACATGAAGGAAACAATGAATTGAATGTAGAACCACATACACACAAAATGACATAAAGAAAGACAGTGTCTGGTCCAGTTGTGTATGTGTCAGTATGACATAGTTATTGAGGGATAAACTTTCTAATGTACTGTGGAAGCTGGCTCATTTACAGCTATGTATTGTTTCTAATACATTCTGCATCATTAAGGATTGAATCCATGCTAGCACAATAACAATAATGCCGATGCTAGAACAACAACAATAATATCAATGCTAGAACAACAACAATAATGTCAATGCTGTTACAGCAACAATAATGTCAATGCTAGAACAACAACAACAACAACAACAATAATGTCAATCTGACACTGTTACATCCCTTCTTAAGCTGTTTACTTCCTGCTCATGATATGGCTGTGGATTCCATCAACATCATCTAAAGACAAAACTTGTTAAGACTAATATCAATATTTATAAAGTGAATTTAAAAAAAATGTATGTACATGTAATTTATTTCAGTTTATAATGCTATAGACTGACAAAGCCACAAAGCTATGTACAAAAAAGGTCCAGACATTTCCTCACATGGACAGTTCCCAACACCCCTCTTTTTGTTTTTGTGTGAATTAATAAGAGGAAGTTTAGTGAGGATATCTTTACAGAAGTAAGGATCAGATTTATGGATGAACAACCCTTTATTACAATTAAGAGCGACGTCACTTGCTTTATAATGGTGTTAGAACCTACACCTTGCTTACACCTTACTTAATTGTAATAAAGAAGTTGTTCATCCATAAAGCTTATCCTTACTTAGTACTCAAACTTCTAAGAGCCTATCAAAGAAATCTTTTCAGAAGGTGATTTTCTAACATTTATCACTAGTTATAAGAGGATATGTTGCAGGATCTGTGATCTCAATAATCACCAGGTGTGACCATGTAGACAGGATCTCATTGGGGTTTGTGATTTTGACAATTGCCCAGTTAACATGCTGATTATTGATGCTAAGCAAAACCAAAGCAAACAGTTTATTACTGGAGAGATTTGGTAGTGAATATTTATTAGCATCTTTTTCATCCCAATATCTTCTCTTACCTTCCACTGTAAAAGTATTGAAAAAGAAATGGTATATTGGATTATTTGTCGAAGAAGATCTGTTTCTAGTTGGTGACACTTTAATGAACTTGACAAGTGATGGGGAATTTTAATATTCATATTTTATAGTTTGTTAAATTGTAAATAAAAACTGTGAAATAAATTATATCACTTTTGGAATCAATGTAGGAAAATGTCCCACACTCGGTAAAAAATGCTTCAATCTTTTGAAGACTAAATGAATACGAAATAATTTATTTTTAAAAAATAAGACAAATTAAAAACTATAAACGGCCATAATCTGTGTATGGTCATAGCCGACGAAGCATAAAGCATCAGGTGAGAAACAATGCAATCTTTGGGAAATGAAAGGAGCAAGAAATGTTTTTTTTTAGAACAAAACAAACATTAAACGACCATTATCTGTGTTTAATTTCAGAAATCTTTCAAATTTGGAATTTATTGAATTTGACAGAATTGTTTTAGCATGAACAAAATGCCATAAGTATGAATGGTCACCTTCTAAAGCCTCACAGTTTTTAGATGGCAGAAGTATATGACAAATCATTGCAAATATAGAGCAAACAATTTCATGACATCTATGCATATGAAGAAATTGTGGATGTGATCCAGCGGAAATTGCTGACTGACCACTCCCTCTCATATAGACTACCTGAAAAAAGAGTATACTTAGTATATGTTAATAAATTTGGCAGCATGCCTTTCAACTCAACTCCTCTTCACTGCCAACATATTTAATAGTTGTGAGGAAAACCCTATCCCTCGCCAGAGATGCCACTGCGCATGCGCAAGGCGGGAATCACCTCACTTCTTTCCTGTGTGTCCAGATGACAACAAGGAAAATATTTTGTTGCATACATCTGTACACTTGATTGCTGTTCCACACTTACAAGCCACACTAGACCATCTCAAGCTTCACTAAAGACAAGCAGTGAGCGGCTCTACAAGCAGAGAACAGGGTTATAAGAAGGCTGAAGGCTCTCGTAAGTAATTAGAGAATGGGTTGTGGGATGAGGACTTCGTCCCCAAAACAGACGCCCGTCTGTTCAGGTTGTTGGCAACATCAGATCCCTGGTGACCCTCACCCTAGATGCCTGTCATGCAAGAAAAGCAATTGCATGCAAAAATCAAGGTGCAATTATTGTGAACCTTTGTCTAAGGAGAAGTTTGAAAAACTTTCTAAGGCATGGCTCAATGACCCTGATTATAAGAAGAACACTTGAGCGTCAGCAAAATATTCATCTGCTTCATGTAAGAAAGTGATTAAGTCCGTTGTGACACCTAAAGATAATCACGTGGGTAACAAGCGAGTGTCACACTGGGACGCCATTCCCTCCCTACCATGCACATCATAGGGTAGATCGTGAATCACGAACATCGCATCGCAGTATGCACAGAAATACACACCAGTCACCTTCTAGCCACTATGATAGACGAACTGACAAAGCTCGTGCAAATCAGGATAGAGTTCCTAGGCGTGCGCATTCCCATACTGTCACACAGTCCAGTTATACGGGCGGGGAAAGCGAAGTGGATGTTACGTCACAGTCATACAGTTACAGAACACGTGATTCCCGCCCCGCTAGCCTTAGATCAGATGACCGGGATGACTCTACCCCCAGGCATATGTCCTACCCCCAGCGCAGCCTGAGCAGGGAGTGTGGTTCTATCACTAACACTGGTTCTTCATGCAATGGGGACTCTACTACGGAGAATAGTTACAAACCAAATAATTATTCCATTAAAGATATCATTGCAGAACTTTATAATCTAAACAAAGACAAAACGGCTGCCAAACCCTTGTTAGAACATGCTGGGTATGAAGAACCTGTCAGCAAGACTGAAGAATTACCCTCCCCCGTCCGTCATATATTGATGACGTCATCAAGAAAATCGAAGCATCATTGAACGCTTCATCGGCGCATAATATCAAACTTGGTATGCTGGCTATTAATAAAAGTGCTTACAGGACACACGATACCCCCTTCGCTCAACAGCCTAGTATTGATGAAGATTTCTATGATCTGGTTATGAAACCTAAGACCAGGATGCACGTTGACATGGCCAAAATCAGGGATTTTGACAACATCAATAAACAGATGATTAATATCAGTTCATATATTAACTGGGTTGCAGCTGGAATTCGCCACGTCATTCCCCCGAACAATCGAAGCAAAGGTCTTCCCTTAGACACCCTCACGGAGTTGACACTACAGCAGACCGGGTTTATTCACAGCTCACTGGACCATATGCTGAAGATGCAGGAAGATCTTCAATCAGCACAAGTTTGGATGTCAGCACAGTTCCTGCTCATGCAAAGAAATCATCTACTACAGCAAGCTCATTATATGATCCCAGAGCCACGAAGAAGATCCATGCTTACACAGCCTATTACAGCTCCACAGATATTCAACTGATATATTCAGACTGAAGTCAGTGTAGGAAGCCATTGCATCATCAACTAGTCAGAAGTTTCAAGAATCCACGATCTCATTGGCATCCAAAATCCTGCAGAGCTTCTGCATCAACAACAGAATCCTAGATCTCGTCATGTGAATTCTGGTCATA